GCCATGCCCTGATCGGCAATCACCCCCCTTGGCTTCCGCCGACTTCTCGCCTAATTCAGCCTCGTCCCGGTCCTTCGCCAAGATGCTGTTGCTAACACGATGATGCCTCCAGATCTCTGATGACCAGTATGAGTACAAGGTCATCACTGATCACCAGCTCGACACTGAGTTTGGCATTTACGAGTCCTACAAGGATGGCCACCTTGTCCCTTATCCCTCGCGGGTCGAGGGCACGGAGATGTGGCAACGAGCCCGCGATGCCGAGGCTGCCACCGCCGCCGCTGCGGCTGCGGCTGCGGCTGCTTCTGGCACGCGAGGAGGAAGAGGCGGCCGCGCCCGAGGTGGTGCCAAGCGCCGCGCCCAAGACCAGCCCGAGGGCCAGCCCGCAGTCAAGAAGACGACTCGCAGCAACTATGAAAGCCAGCCGCTGCCCACCGCCCCCATCACCCCCATCACTCCCGCCAAGGGTCTCCTGGCCACGGAGATTGCATCTCACACCGACGGTGCTCCTATGGAGGAGGACTCTGGTCCCGTCACTCCTGAGCCCGTCATTGCTCCCAATGGCGTCGCCCCTGTTCCCGTCGCCAGATCCGATAGCAAGCTCGGGGCTCATGAAAGAAGCCCTCCTCTGCCCAAGAACATCTCGGATCCTGACGAGTACGGCTGCCGCACGTACAACCAGAAGCCCTCGGCCAAGGAGAGGGGCGCTAACAGCCGCCTTGTCACCCCCCGACTCTTCTCGTTTGAACCCCATGAGATTGGCTTCCGTGACAGCACCAACGACTCTTCCAAGGGCCACACGCACGCCAAGCGAGGCAAGTACCTCGACAAGCCCGACAGCAACGGCATGCACTTTGATTACTGGTGTGCCGGCTACGACTTCTCCAACACGACTCCAGCCGACTTCGACCAGAAGCTCGTCAAGAAGCATGGCCTGCATCCCCGCTTCGGCGTCTTCCTGCCCACCAGCACCAACGAGCAGGAACCGACGACGCCGTACGTCATGCCCGGAAAGCCAGTGGTGTTCATTGCTGAGCCTTCGGGCCGCATCTCCCACGCCTCTCGCTCCTTCCAGCGGACGATTAATGACCGTCGCGTGGTTGATGAGCCGGTGAGGGTGAGGATGAATGCCGCTATGCGCCGTTTCTGCAAGATGCAAGCCATCCCCCTCGACGATGTCGCCGTCACCGAGTACCTGCCCACCGAGGAGGAGCT